CTCTTCTTAGAGGCGAAAATAATGCTTTTAGCCCACTTTGCCTTGTTCTCCTCATGGAAATGAGTTTGCACTAAACCACACAGATGTGCCCTGGCTAGTCAATATCTGGAATAGGGTCATAGGGCAAAATGTCTTCTCTGTGTAATACTTAAAGTTAAGAATTCTGACCTTGGCCTTCTAAGGCCTTTGCCTGTACACACAAGAGCAAATGTGCTCCTGAGATGGCAGGAACATTTCTACATACTCACCACTGAATTTAAGTGAACCTCTAGAGAAAAGACTACACTCGCTTCCGTTCCATCATCAACGTAACAAAATTACACAAAACACACTGAAAATTCAAGGCAGCCCAAAGCAAAAGCCAGTGTTAGTCACAGTTTTCATTAAATAAGTCTCATTGCTGTTTAAAAAAAAAAGTTTAACTAATGAAAATGTACATTTTAAAATGCTGATTTCATGAGATTAGCCAGCCTGTACCCCATTGGAATTAAATCCAACTATCTCAAAGTGGCACCTGAAATAGTAGCAAACTTTTTTTTTTCTTTTTCTTTTTCTTTTCTTTTTTTTTTTTTTTTTAATTGACGGGGTTTCACCATGTTAGGCTGGTCTTGAACTCCTGACCTCAGGTGATCCACCCACCTTGGCCTCCAAAGTGCTTGGATTACAGGCGTGAGCCACCACACCCGGCCAACAAACTTTTTTTTTTAACCGTGAAAGTGTATCATAAGGATGGCCTCTACCTACGCAAAAGTAATGGCATACACATTCATGAACTGTGCCCAAGGGGTGAAAAGCCAAAAAAAAAAAGGACTATCATGTCCATAATATTATTATGTTACTACAACACCTGATAAAAATGATGATGATAGTAACATTTATGCCAAGAGTTGTACATACACTATCTTCTTTAATCTTCATAATACCCAAACTTGTAAGGTAAGTACTATTGTTACCCCATTTTACAGATGAGTAAACCCAAGCACAGGGAAGTTAAGTAACTTCTCACAACCTAAGAATACCCGACTATTAAGCAGCAAGAGATTCAAACTCAGGTTGCTTTATCCAAAGCTGGAACTCTTACAATAAACCAGTAACAGGCAAGTGATATATATTTGTTGAAACCTAGTTTAAATGTATTTGACCACAGGCTTTTATATTCATGCATACTTAAAAAATGCATACAGGCCAAGCATTTGGGTTACAGATGCATGCCATAATCCCAGCACTTTGGGAGGCTGAAACAGGAGGATCACTTGAGTCCAGAAGTTCAAGACCAGCCTGGACAATGTAATGAGACCCCACCTCTACAAGAAAAAATTTTTTAAATCAACTGAGTGTGGTGGTGTAAGCCTGTCGCCCCAGCTACTTAGGAAGCTAAGGCGGGAGGATCTCTTGAGCCTGAGACTTTGAGGTTACAGTGAAGTTTGACAGTGTCACTGCACTCCAGCCTAGGTAACAGAATAAGATCCTGCCCCAATATTTTAAAAAAGAAAAAAAAATTGCATATAAAATCTGTCTACTCTTTGTTCCCCATCATCCAACTAGTGAAGGTATAATTAGGCACAGGCAACAGACTACCATCAATTTGAGAGCAGAAAATATTCTTTTTTAAAAATATCTTTAATGCTTTATAGTTTTCTACCAAAAAAAAACAGAGCCAGAGAACCTCAGGCTAAGTAAGGCTCCTCCAAAAAAAGGAAATCAAAGCAGGTAGGACAAAGACAGCCAGGGTGAGCTACTAACCAAAGTATGTCACAGCTGAACATTCTCTCCCGGTAACTGTTCTGCAGTGCCGCTCGAAGCACTGCAGTGCTGCCAATATGAAGTCTGAGCTCATGAATGCCGTGCTGCAAAAGTAACCAACAACCAAATAGGAAAAGCTTCACTTTTCTCTACTGATTTTATTCATCCCAGGATCCCACTCTACAAGGTTTGAGAGTTAACAGAATTTGGGAAAGGGCCAAGTTAACCACTTAGTATTGAATGGAGTGCAGTATCCTACTCAATAAATGAGGTTTACTTTAGTCTCTTAGTCCTTGGAATGGGTCACATGTGTTTAAAAAAAGGGAGGGGGGGGCATAATTATTTCTGATGTTCAGAAAATACCTATTACCTAACCTCCTTCAGCCAACACAGGTATCATCTGAATTACCTCTGTCTGACTGTTATACATGGTAATAAGAACGCCCAGACTATTTCCTGCAAGGGGGGGGGGGGGGAAATCACACACCTCTAAAAGACAAAGCAACAAATGATACATTCTGGAAATAGATGGGGGAAAAAATAACTCTGTTTCCAAATGACCCCTCTGCAGAAGTAAGATAAAGGCTGCAGTGCATAGGGAGAAAAAAATCAACCTGAGTTAACTGAAGCAGCAGCTTCAGCAACTTCTAATACCTATGTACCTTCCCACCATTATATAACCAAACCATAACCTTAATAGGCCATCATACTGTATGTCAACAGCTGTTAGGCACATCTAAGCTGTCAGCATTTGAGAACCCCTTCCAAAGGGGATTCAGAGGAGCATGGAGCAGGCCAAGATATGCTCATGGTTCACCCAGAGCACATGACAACTCCTTGTGAATTAAGCTTCACTCATGTAGTCTGAGTAATTTAAGCAGCAAAAGATACAGCACTTGTAACTGTAACTAGGAAATTGCACACTGCTACAGAAACACAAATGAATGCTGGTGTGGTTCCCTCACACATGCAACTCATTGTCCAAGCCATTTCAGTCTCATTCAAGACTGAGTATTTCCATACATAGGAATTGCATAACTGCACACCACAAATGATCAAAGATAAAAACCAACACAAACAGTGACACCCATTTGTAAACACGCCAATGTTTAAAATGTTGCAGTCCTAAAGGATACCAAGGTCTCAGAGAAAAGCTATGAAAAACACACGCACACATACACACACATGAAAATGAGAAAGCAGCCGGACCAGCCATAATTAGGCACCCGCTCTGCTGACTACTGAAGACAGAAATCTCTCTTTTAGATTAAAGCCAACAATCAACTGTTTGCAATTACATTTACAAAAGCATTCAACCCTGTCTGTAACAGATTTTATCAATATTTTGGTGTATCCAAGAGCTGGAAGATTCAAAATTCTTTAAATCATGAAACCATAAACCAGGCAACCAATTAAGTTCATAGAGACTATCCCCCAGAGGTCAGAGCAAAATAACCACAGGAGCACAAAGTTATTACACAGAAAATAAGGAGAAAAAAAAAATGAACAGCACAACAAGGAACAAGGCATATTGTTTGTAAATAGAAGTTTGCCTTGGCTGATAGTAAACTAGACTGGAAACACGGTGAGGGGCCGGGTGGCAAGTAAGGAAGCACACCATAGTCTTGGCTCAATCGACTTCCCCGGACTTCCCCTCAGGGTCTGAGGGAGCCCCGGACTTTGGTATCTCATCCAGCTCTGACCTGCAGACTTGAGGCCCTGTGATAAAAACGGGCAAAAAAGGCTGAAGAGGGCCCTCCAGAGGAAGTGAAACTGACCAATCAATTCGCCACAGCCACCCACCCTGACACCCTGGTAAGAAGGGCCCCTTGCAGCCTTTGGCAGAAAGATGGTGGGGAAGGAACTTCAGGTTGCAAGTGATCAGGAGAGAAGGCCTAGATAAGTCACTGGCTTCAGAAAACAAGCCACGGCCATAAAAGCAAAAACAAGGTAGGTCATGATAACCAGAGGCTAGGCTGAGGAGGTGAAGGGGACTGATGTAGCTTTGGTAGGAGGCGGGCGGCAGCAGCTGCAAGGGTTCTTCATTCCTCAGGTTGAGGGAAAACACAAGCTGCAGTTTCAAACATAATGAATGACTACATTAAAAGTATTCATTCAGGGAAGATATTGAGCAAAGAAAATTCTGGAGTAAAAATGGGCTTTGCGGGTTCCACCAAAACCAAAAGATTGCTCCTAATGTCTTAGATTCCAATCCTCCCAATGAAGGCTACGTGAAGGTGCTACCGTATTTCTTCAAAGAAGGAATTTTATATGCATACATGGATAGCTTCCTAATTGACCTTGGCCAATCCCACTCCTACGGCACCTCAAATCCCTTTAAGAACCTAAGGGCTCCATGAGTGTTCTCCCGGTGTCTGGGTTCTTCAATCACAAGCTTCCCCCCTCGACCAGTGAAAGCCCACCCTGGGTTCTACAAAGCCCACTATTCCCGGCCCTCCAACAACTAAAAATAACCAGCAATCAGCTCCCCCAAATTGGTTAACCCCTGATTACCTAGTGCCATTATAAACCTGGGACAACCCCCCCACCCCCACTCCAACTCCTCCATTCCCTGGGCCCCTTCCTGTGGACAAGCAAAGCAATTTCCCCCTATTTCCCCATTTTCCTCACTGCCTCCTCCACTAATCGTGTCTCTCCTCGGGCTCCCCTTCGCACCGTCTATCAGTCTTAGACGATCAAATGCGGATTCCTATCTCTGCCTTAAGGCACCAGGATCCTGAGACCTCCCAGCGCCCTGCAGCCGTGCCCATCCCCAGTCCGTGCCCCAGCCGTCCTGGGTCCCCTCACAAGCCCGGGTCTGCCACTCCACCCACCCTGGTCTTCCCCCATCCTCCCGGTCCACATTTCGTATGCCCCTGCCCTCATTCCCTTCTGACTTCCTAGCTGCTGGTTGCAGAGACTTCTTGGCTTACAGTCTCCCGGCCCTCGGGGAGCTCCGACCCCTTCTTTCCAATCACCCCCTTTACTCCCCTGCCCTCAGCCCCGAGCACCCTCCCCGCGCCCGGCTCCCGGGCTCCCGAGCTCCCAGGGCCGGTGCTCTGTGGCCCCGGCCCCCTGCGTGGAGTTCCGCCGTCTGGGGTCCCAGGTGTCCGTCCCCGCTCCGCGCCCGCCCCGCCGCGGCCGGCCCCCAACGCTCCCACCACGCGCCGCGCTCGCTGTCCCGACCCCCCGGCTGGGGGCGCGGGCCCCTCCCGGCCCCGCCACGTTCCGACGGCCGCCCGGCCCCGCGCCGGTACCTTGGCCTTGGTGACGAGGTGCGTGGCCCGCTTGACCACCGCAAAGTTGCCCTTGCCGATGGTGCGGTCGATCTCGTAGTATCCGATGCGGGCGGGCATGGGTCCGCGGGAGGCCGGGGCTGGGGGGCGCGGCGGGCCGGCCGCGGGGGACACGGCAGCGGGGGCGGCCGGGGGCCCCGGCGCGGGCGGAGGCAGCAGGCGGCCCGCGGGCCCGGCTCCCCCCGCCCCGGCCCCGGCAGCCCCGCCAGCTCCGCTCGCCGCCGCCGCCGCCATCTTGTTGTGCAGTGAAACCTCCGGGGCCGCGGGGAGCCGGCTCGGGGGAGGGGGCAAGGGGGGGCGGGAAAGGGGGGGGCCGCGGACGTCACTCGGGGAGGCGGGGCGCCCTCGCCGTCCGGCGCCCGCCGCCATGGCAACCGCAGGTCACGTGCCGACGCGCGTCACTGCCCGGAGCCATGGCAACCGTGACCTCACCGGCGGGCTCGACCTTCCCGCGTGGGCCCCGGTTCCTGAGGCGCTGGCTCCCGAGTGCCCCCCTCCGGGCGCTGGCGGTAGGAACCTCCGGTGGGCCCCCGACCTCGAAGCCTCCGCCGCCTTTCCCGAGTCGGGGGCGCAGGATGCCCGACCCACAGCCAGCCCCCCACCGCCGCTGGAATCGCCAAGGTGACCTCTACTGTGACCTCTGTCCCAGTTCAACGATCACCCAACCTCCCTTAACAAAAAAAGTGTCTCCTCATCACCAAAAATACCAGCGTTGTCCCACTTTAGCCCTTGAGGCCACAAAGGCAGGAATAGCTACACTTTTTAAGCAACTGTAACCAAGTTGGTAACAACGCAAGGGAATTGTTCAGTAAAATTCCTTCCTCTTATAAAATCCAGCTCATCCTGTACAATCAACCTAATTGTCACCGAATATAGGAGAATGGGGAAAGGATTTGCGTGTTCAAGGGCGGAGAAGCCAGTCCAAACAGGCATTCCAGTCATTGGGTGGGTGACAGCCAGAGAAGGTACGTCATTTTCCTTCCTACCACCCCCGTCTCTGAACAATTCTGTAGGGATGTCTGTCAGAGTGCCTACATACGATTTCTGTTGCTTGTATAAGCCTGATGAAGCAGTGGTGCACATTGTCCAATGTCCAATGAACCATGTCGTGTTTAAAGAATTGTCAGTTAAGCAAAATAAATAAGTGAATAATAAAAATTCCATCCTTCCTAGTGACTCTCCAAAAGCATTAAGGGTCATCAAGTTAATAACTCCAGCAATTTCATATCCCTTTTTCTTCCCTTCTCTATTACCTGGCATCCTTCATAGTTCCCAGACTTCCTCCTCGTCTCTCTCCTTCCCTTTTTTTTTTTTTACTTTTATTTTTTTAAAAGACGGGGTTTCACCATGTTGGTCAGGCTGGTCTTGCACTCCCAACCTCAGGTGATCCACCCGCCTTGGCCTCCAAAGTGCTTGGATTACAGGGGTGAGCCACCACACCCGGCGCTCCCCTTCCCTTTATTAAAGAGATTAACTTAGCTGCTTTAGGTGAGACTAGGAGGTAGGAAATCAGACTGTCAACAAAATAGTCTTTGGCAGGTTGGGTGGAAAGAAGAGAAGACTGTGAATATTCCAGTGTTAAAATGTATTCCTCGGACTTGTCCTGATTCATCCATATCTATGTCTCTCTCAGTGGTAGAACTGTATTGTCATGTCACTACATGCATAGTATTAAAAACTGACACCCGGGGCACTGTAAATGTGTGAGAAGGAGAACTTAGGTTTACTCTCTGACCAAAGAACATTTTCTGGTGCTTCGATTCCCTATCCAACCATGAGTAACAGCTGGGACTTAAGATGGGCCAGAGGGTTCATCCCACAATGGTCCTGGATCAATTCCCTGGTAGCTGTTCCAAATTGCCAACACAATTAACACTAATTGGCTCCCTTATTAGCAAAGAAGGATAAGAATGAAGTGGGCCTTGGCTTCTTGCATTGAGCTCATTCCATCCCAGATAAATGATGGGGTGGGTGTGACCTGCCTCTCCTATCACTTCATGGCCCTCACCTGCCTCTAGCAGGGACTATAACTTTGGTGCACAGCTCCAGGTTTTTTTGGTTTTTGCTCTGTTGCCCAGGCTGGAGTACAGTGACACAACCTAGGCTCACCACAACATCCACCTCCCAGGTTCAAGCAATTCTCCTGCTTCAGCCTCCAGAGTAGCTGGGACCACAGGAGCCAGCCACCCCGCCTAGCTAATTTTTGTATTTTTATAGAGACAGGGTTTCACTATGTTGGCATGGCTGGTTTTGAACTCCTGACCTCGTGATCTGCCCGCCTCAACCTCCCAAAGTGCTGGGATTACAGGTGTGAGCCACCACGCCCATTTACGGCTGCAGTTTTACCATCTCCCCGGGTGTCTCAACAGAAACCACAGCTGGCTGGTAAACCAAAGAAAAAAAAATACTTCACTGTGGAAGCTGCAGGAGCGTCACTGAAACCATTTCTCACTGGTGACTGTATGCTCACAGAGTGTCCTCCACTAATGGAGATAACTCGAACATCCAATATCACAACTTTTCCTTCTCTCTCTCGAGTTTCAAGAAGAAAAACAAAGCTGGGGAGGCCCTAGAAAATGGAGCATTGTTCTAATTTTCAAAGACAAGAAGCAGATGACTCGTCTCTCCAAAAGGACCAGAACATATGCTGTGTGCTGCGTCTTGTGTCACTTATGCTCCTTTCCTGTATAGATTGAAGTCAGCCGGGCCTGGTGGGGCATGCCTGTAGTCCCAGCTACTCAGGAGGCTGAGGTGGGAAGATCGCTTGAGCCCAGGAGTTCTGGGCTGTAATGCGCTATACTGACCGGGTGTCCGCACTAAGTTCGGCATCAATATGGTGACCTCCCAGGAGCGGGCGACCACCAGGCTGCCTAAGGAGGGGTGAACCGGCCCAGGTCAGAAACAGAGCAGGTCAAAACTCCTGTGCTGATCAGTAGTGGGATCGCGCCTGTGAATAGCCACTGCACTCCAGCCTGGGCAATATAGCGAGACCCTGTCTCTTATAAAAATTAAAATTAAAATAAAAAAATAGATCGAGGTCACTAGATGGTGTTTCTGATTGAGACTTCAGTAGACTTGCTGGAGATCTCCTTGAAGAGTAGCCTTCTTTAGCATGAAGAATACAGAATATTAGAGAAGGAAGTTATCAAAGGAGATCATCAGGCAAAAAGGAAAATAGTTTAGGTGTTTACGTTTAATAAGGATTTATTGAGTACCAAGAACTGAGTTCGGTTCTGAGAGAAACTCAGTAAATAGCAATAACAATTTGCCAGGCATTATGCTAAACAGTATACCTAAGTGAACTCTATCCTCACAACAACCTAATAAGATGGTTTGTAGTATATCCCTATTTTCCAGATAAGGAAAATGAGGCACGTAGGGTTTAAGGGAATTAGCCAAAGTCATAGAGCTAGTAAGTGATAGAACTGGGATTAAAACCTAGGATCTTCCCCATTGTATTATAATCCCTGCCAAGGTAGGAGCCAGTAGAAAAAGTGATCTCTCCATTATGTCCAGGGTGACTGGGGTCAATTCAGACCCAAGGAAGAAGAGTATTTTGAGAGGTCTTGAAAACAGGACAGAGCAGGCAGCAGAACCATAGGAATAAAGATAGACTGAATGAAGTACCTGTGATAGCTTCTCTTATCAACAGCACTAAGAAGAGAATCACGGCTTATTGTGTAGAAGTATTGCTGGCCCGTAATAATAATACAGGCCTGGCCAGGCATGGTGGCTCATGCCTGTAATCCCAGTACTTTGAGAGGCCAAGGCGGGCAGATACCGAGGTCAGGAGTTTAAGACCAGCCTGGCCAACATGTGAAACCCCGTCTCTACTTAAAATACAAAAATTAGCTGGGCATGGTGGTGTGTTCCTGTAATCCCAGGAATTGCTTGAACCAGGACCTGGGAGGCGGAGGTTGCAGTGAGCCAAGACTGTGTCACTGCACTCCAGTCTGGGCTACAGAGTGAGACCCCATCTCAAAATAAAAAGATACAGGTGTGGCCAGGCACCATGGCTCCTACCTGTAATCCCAGCACTTTGGGAAGATGAGGTGGGTGGATCACTTGAGGCCAGGAGTTAGGGACCAGGCTGGCCAACATGGCAGAACCCCATCTCTACTAAAAATATTTTTAAATTAGCCAGATTTGGTGGTACATGCCTGTAATCCCAGCTACTTGGGAGGCTGAGGCGCAAGAATTGCTTGAACCCAAGAGTCAAAGGTTGCAATGAGCCAAGATGGCACCACTGCCCTCCAGCCTGGGCAACACAGAGAAAACTCCAATCAAAAAAAAAAAAAAAAAAAAAAACAAGGCCAAGCACGATGGCTCATGCCTATAATCCCAGCACTTTGGGATCACCTGAGGTCAGGGGTTCGAAACCATCCTGGCCAACATGGCAAAACCCCATCTCAATTAAACACACACACACACACACAGACAGGCCTGTAAGCATTGTGTTCCTCTCCTGAAGCGGACTCAGAGGAGTAGCTGGGAGATGGAATTCTCAGAACCCCTGTACTGGAAGACAAAGACAGAGAGATATAGCCTTCACCCAGCTCCTAATCAGCCATCATGACCAACTCACTCTTTTGTGAAAAAGCAGAAGATAGATTCAAAGAGGAAAACGAGACGTTTTCCTATGTAATGTCATTGTGTCTTGTTTCCAGAATTTGAAAAGGGCAGACCGAGTTATTCTTGATGATAATGATAGGAACTTGGAAACTTTTAGAAGTGATACAGAACGTCTGAGGACATAAGGTCTGACCTGAAACTGATACAAACAGTAAGATGTCACACATAACTCTTCAATGATTTTTTAAAAACATTTAGCCTGCCTGCGGGGCAGTTTACCAGCAACCTGAAAGAAAATTGCAGCCTCACAATGTTGTTCCATAGACTCTCAGAGCCATGAGGACTTGAAATAAGCCAGGCTTTGCACTTTATATTGGTCCAACTCATTACTACTCTGGAAAAAAAAAAAAAAAAAGGGCTTTTTTTTTTTTTTTTCTAGACAGGATCTTGCTCTATCGCCCAGACTGGAGTGCAATGAAACAATCTCAGCTTACTGCAACCTCTGCCTCCTGGAATCAAGCAATTCTCTTGCCTTGACCTCCTGAATAGCTGGGATTACAGGCGTGCGCTACCACAACCAGCTAATTTTTGTATCTTTAGTAGAGACGGGGTTTCTCCATGTTCTTCTGGCTGGTCTCGAACTCCTGACCTCGTGATCCACCCGCCTCAGCCTCCGAAA